TGTGTTGCAGTGTGAGCATTTGGTCGTTGCGTCCACAACCCACTCGAGGTTCAGTTTAGTAGGCATTCCTGCTCAAATCGCCCACGGTCAGTAGCTAATGTTGGTGCCTACAGTCTACGGGAATTTTTGTAAAATGCATCCCCTCCCTCCAGTCGTAGGTAAGCCTGTTGGTTATTGTGAGACCCCACGCAAGTCGAGAGGGTGTCTGCTACTCCACATCTATCAGACGACTCGTGTGAACTACTGTCGTAAGACCTGAAGTAGGATTTGACCTGCAGGGCCTTTATTTCCGGGCGTCTGCACACAGATTTTGGATTTCGAACAGGCAGAACCCCTTTGTATTATTTGCCCGCACCATTTGACTAAGCTTTCGACATCGTTGATCCACAAGGATGCCGTAGCGTAGATTGCAGTGCGTTATTCGGACAGTCTGCAAGGTTTTCTGAGGAGTCGAAATAGAACTGAGTCCCTAACAGCCTTTCGGGTTGTTTTTTTCTCGCGCGCTTTGATTGAAGGACCTGACCACAAGTCAGTGGTGGCAATCCGACTTATTAAATTGCGGTTCACGGTCACCGTATCACAGTTTCGTCATCGGGTTTTTGCGGTGTTTAGTAAGAGTCAGTGAGCTAAAATTCTTTGATCCGCACTCTGTTAATACTATCGTTGCTTTCTCACACACCCGAGAGACTGCCTATTTTTTAGATAGATTTCCACTGTCCACCACTAATTTACATGTAGGATAGCCAACGGTTAGGTAATCGGCCATAATCATAAGTGTCGCAAAGTAACTGATTAATAGAAAAAGGCTCCTGCTCTTGTAATAACGCATCTGTTAATTAGTTACAGTAAATTTAGACCGCTACAGTCCTGAAAAACCATCAGGGTCTATTTGAAAGCATTATGTAGACCCAAACAGAAACTCGTGCGTTGATGCCTTCCAGCTATCGACCGATTGACCTGCACTGCAGATACATACCATTTAAAATTTATTTACCAGACTAATATTTGTAGAATTTTAGACCATGCGCCCTTTTGCATATCCCTGCTGCCATACCAGGGCTTAGGAGGTATAGCTTTAAGTCAGTTTAGTGTGTCCTGAATTCGCTTTCAAATTAAAACAATAGAAATCTTATGTGGAAGGTGGTTTTAAAATGCCAAATGAGAGTGGCGTCCACCGATCTTACTTCTTATCGTGACATGAGCCATCATAAGCTTTCGCTTACCAGCAAACAGTGATAAGACCTATAGACTAGAATGTCCACTTTTATGTTGTGAATTTGATTTTTTCGAATGTCAGACTTGCTAGTTATTGGGTTGGGACCGAAGCACCA